TCTTGTGATTCCTTCTCCTCTGTGAGAGAATTAAATCTCTGTCCATCTCCACCTGAGCCCCTCGGTGTCTCTTTGATTTCCTCTCTGCCCAGTTAAACCATTTCAAATCTTCTTCACTGAGTTGCAGCAGGAACGAAGCAAATTAAAACAAGAGACGGTTCATCCATTAAGAAGACGATTCACGATGCAGGCTAGAAAATAACCTAACATGATCGTCACCTTTTTTCATCCAGCAGAGCTCATGCGATGCTCGTTTGACAGCTTAGGCCTCGATTCCTTGTTAATGTGCAGAACAAAAACTCGAGACTGAATCTGCGGGAGAACTTGACAAGTCAATAATAAACCAAAAGTTAGACTTCTCTGTGATGATTCAAAAACTCTTTCTGTCCGACAGAGCTTTAAATAGACGACCTGTGCTGACACTACAGAAAAAAAAACTTTTTAAACATTCCACACTTTCACTTGTCTGGTCTCGAAATTGCTTTTTCGAACAAACCGGCGAGTAACTAAAAGTAAAACGAGTCATTAAGGAAGAGTCTTTGTGCCTTTGTGTCCGTCTGCTCTTGTCTCCTTTCTTTGGTTCCTTTCGCAGTTTCTTTCTCCCTCATCTCTCCATCTGGATGCTCGTCTCTCGGCCTTTGTGAAGCATTGTGTCCCTTTTACTTGTCTTTATCTTCCTCGGTCAGTGTTGGGCGTCCTCTCTCTCAGCGTTCCTGCGCCTCGCGTCCATCACGACCACATTCTCACTCTATCAGTGTCTTCCCTTTCATCTTTTTTTAATAACACTTCCCAATGCTCTTTAAATATGTTTCATAACCAACTGCTTTACCTTTGTCCCCCTCCCTCGCTCGTCTTTCTTCATGAATGAAATATTTATTTTTTTCCCGTTTCTTGGTTTTGACTTCGACATCCAGCCTCGCTTTTATTTGACACCGTATAAATGTGCCTCCGCAGACACACACTCGCACAACATCTTAAAAATGAGAAACACAAACATCTGTGCAAACGCTTTCCACTGATGATGCTCAATTTTACAGATGATGATTTTTCTCCTGTTTTCCTGTGTTATTACAAACCTCTCAATCATCCTCTGAACTCCCTCTCTTTCTCTGTCTGCCCCCCCCCCCCCCCCCC